CATGTTATTTTTTAATTTGTTAATTTTTAATTAGTTAGTACACATAATTATTGATATTAAAACTATATATATATATATATATATATATATATATATATATATATATATATATTTGTTTCTTTCTTTGCAAAATATTTATTTTAATTCCTTTTCACTTTAATTTTTTTAAAATTAATTTATCATCTTTTCACTTTTAATTATTTTAAATAAATTGTGTGTATTTAAAAACAATTTAAAAGTGTCCTTTAATTTTAGTGTTCTACTTGATTTTCTTCACTTATTTTGATATCGCTCAAAGTAACTTATTTTTAATACAAGACATTTGAAATCAAATCAAAATGAAAGACAGAGAAAATAAACTCAATAGAAAAATAAAAGAGAAAAAAATGAATGTAAGAAAAAAAATTCGATACAAAGTAAAAAAAGGTTAACTTACTTTAAATACAAGATTAAATAAATGAGAATATTTTTATTTAAAAAAATTAAAAATTTCTTTTTAAAAAAAATACGAAATATTTTTTTAAAAAAATTAAGAAATATTTTTTTAAAAAAATTAAAAATATTTTTAAATTTTATTTTTAAAAAAATTATTTACACTAATGGCGGGCGAGTGTGTACAAACACAACTAACTTGGGTGGTTGAATGTGTCATGTCAGCACAAAAGATGCACAAAAATTTGAATAAAATGAGTTCAGGGTAATAGAATCTTAAATAAATTTAAGTGTATTTGTAAAACTTCAATCATAGACTAGAGATACTTATGTACCTAAAATTAAATGCATTATTCATGTCTTTTCTCTATTTTTTTTAATGAATTTGAAAGAGTTTATCAAGCTAAGGATTCTGTCTCTCTATTTTTTTTTCTTCATATTTCACTTGTGAAATTATATTAAAAATAGGCTTAAGTCATCTGCGCCCCCTTAAAGTTGTCCACATAATTCACTTAGACACCTGAACTAGGACTTATACCTATTGAACACCTAAATTATCAAGAAATGTGTCTATTAAACACAAAACGCTAATGTGGCAAAATAAGTGTATCTCACTGCTGCTGAGCGCGTGAATGCATTTTTTTATTTTTTTAAAAATATTTATATCTACTTTGTTGACACTTGGCATGCATTGACTAAATATATAAAAAAAATAAATTAATTAAGCATAAATCTTTTAAATCATAAGAAAAAAAAATACCCCACACTCATCTTCTTCAACCCACTTAAAAACTTCAAACTTCTCTGCCTTTTGTTATGATTCATTTTTTTTTTCATTTTCTGTAAACAAAATACCTGTTGAATTTTCAAGAAGAAGAAAAAATGGACCATTTGGAGTTAAAAAATTTATCAATATCTGTACATTTTTATTTTCTATAACTCCAATTGAGCAACTATCACCATTCATAAACTTATTAGTAATGCTATAAAATATTTGATATAATTTTAATTTCTCTTTGTTGTCGATTTCAAAATAATTTATCAAGATCGATTATATTTACAAAATCGGAATAGTCGTCGAAGGAATAACATATAACGAAGAAAATGAAAGAGGAAAACATTTGGTGGATGAATTCGGAATGAGATGGGGTTAGGCATTTTTTTTTGTTATGTAGAGGAATGGTGATTGTGGAACAACAGAGAAGAAGAAGAGAAGAAGATGAAGAAAAAAGGGCAGTAGGTTAGATGGGATGGGGGTCAGGTGGGGGTGAGGGTGAGGGTGGGGGAAAGATTTTTTTTTAATCAATTTAATTTTTTATATATTATTAAATGAAGGAAAATATTCTTTATTTTTTAAAATTAAAATTATAGGCCCATATGCCACGTGTTGTTGTTCTATTCGTAATTTTTGTCAAGATAACGAGTGTGCATTACACGCACAATATTTGTAAAGATAGTTGTTATTTTATGTTCAATAGATAAATATTTATTAATATTAAAGTGTCTAATAGGTAAGAGTCTCAGTTGAAGTGTTTAAATGAATTATGCGGATAACTTTAAGGGCTATCGATGACTTAAGCCTTAAAAATATGTTATTATTGTTACATTATTAAAGAATATTTAATATTATTTTCTTATGAAAAATTATAATTGTTTCTGTAAGTTTGTAAGTTATCATGACCTGGTGTGATTTTGGTAATTGTCTAGAATGTATGGAGGAGCAGACATGAAAAAGGTTCTTACAGAAGCATCTTGCCACTTGAGTATTTTCTTTATTTTCATCTTAACACCCAAAATAATAATAAAAAGATTGTTGGATAATAAAGATATATCAAATGAAAAATTATCTCAATATATTATAATTGATTGATTTATTAGTTTAGTTTCATTATTCATACATATTAGATGTTTGGTTTAATTTTTTGGAAAATAATATTAAACTTTTTATTTATATTGTTCAAAAGAATTGATTGTTGAATTCAAATTATTATATTTCACCCGCAAATTTAAAATTTATTTAAAATAAAAAAAGTATTAATTATGTGTGTAAAACCTACTTCCAAATGAAAATGTGTTAGTTAATAACTATATGTTCACATAATTTTAGGGAAAAGACATTCACCCTTTAAACTGTATCACAAAGTCAGTTATATGCTAAGTCGGCCTATTACACACTTATATTACTCAAAAGTGAATTTAATACCACCCTCGAAGCTGACATGGAAATAAGATTAAATAAAAATAAAAAGAGGTCCGTTTGAGTAAAATAAAAAGAGATGCGTTTGATTAAAAAAATGATAAATTTTTTCCCATCCCACCTTTCTCCTTTACATTACCCTACCTTTGTTCTTCCTCCATTTTTTTCTTATCACAAACACTATTTCAATAACAAATTCGTCAAGTCAAGTCAAGAACAAACTATTCAATTTTTTTTTTGTCTTTTTGTTCATTGTGAGCATTTGAATTTTTTTTTAAAAAATCAGTTTTCCTTTTTTTGTGTAAAAAGTTTTTGGGTTTTTGCACAAAATTTCATTTTTTTAATATATATTCATAGATCCTCCTTCTCTCTTATAAAAATTTTCTCTAGATTTAAATCAAAATCGGTAATAGTAAATCAAGCACTAGTTTTTCAATTGTCGGACTAAAATCTTTACAATTATAATACTGCAGCTTTTCGCAATTCTCCTCTTTGAGCTTGAATGCAATTTCTATATTGTGATAATTTTTTGTGGTGAGTTTGGTATTGGGTGAAAGATTAGTGGTGATATGACTTTTAATTCAATAATGACAATGATACTCATGATTTTAATGTGGATGGTGAATTTATGATTATGATTGTGATGAATTTCAATGATAGTAATATGGTTTTGATGGTTAATTAGTTAAATTTATGATGTTTGTTATCGATTTTTTTATGACAATGATTGTGCGAAGATTCCAATGATGAGTTTGATTATGAGTGGTGAAATCTATGGTGGTGGAGAAGTGATTTGATGATAATAGCTACAATGGTAGTAATTTAATGGTGGTTTTGATGGTGTATAGGGAAGAAGAAGAAGAAGAAGAAATTGGGTGACATGGATTTTTTTAAAAAAAACTGACGTAATTATTGATGTGGCAGTGACATGATGATAACGTGGCGCGAGTGTGAAATATTTTCTCATCATGTGACTGATTGTATGTGCGTAAGGATTGAAATAAATTCACTTTTAAGTAATTTAAGTGTGTAATAAGTCATTACAATAGTATAAGCGTTAAACTGACTTTTCGTGTTAAGTTTAGGAGGAAATTTATATCTTTTGCCCATAATTTTAAGCACGGATAAGCTTATTTTTGTTACATTATAATAGAATAGTAAAAATGAATTTATCAACAAATTAACAAGATTTCTTGACTAAATTTGTACTTGACGATTTTAAACTTAACAAGTATACGGATGTGTTAAGATTTGAATTATTTAATTAGATAAACTTTTAACTTTATAGTTAGTTAATATTTTTCATATTCCTCTTGATAAAATATATTAAGTGTATATTTATTTTTAAAAATATTGTAAATTATTTTTATATATACACGTTTTTTTCAAAATCTTTAGTGACTTATTGACTCGTAATAGATAGTTATATGACCACAAAATATTTATGAAGAGAAAAAGTGAGGGTGATATTTTTCTTTGGTCAAGAAATACAATTATATTTTTTTTAGATTGTTTTTATTCATGTGCAATTGTAAAAGAATTGGAAAAATATTTAATTCATTTAATTATATTATATGTGCATTGCAAAGAAATTGAAGAGACATTTTAGAATATGTTAAACTTAATTTGTTTTTACTTTCATTAATTACTCCACACAACTTTTTATTTTTATGACCTATAAGGTAATTAATATTCATATCCATCATATTATTTGATATTTCATATTGTAGTCCGGTAAATAATCATTACAAGATTTTATAGAAGATCATAATAGCCTTTCAGGTTTTTATATTTTTTATGCTTATTATATTTAAATTTTAATTTGATTTGAAGAATAAGATGAAAATGGTGAACGACTCGTGGGATTGGACGTCCATAAGAACTCAAAAGATATGTATATTGATTCCATATTTTTCCTTCTATTTTAATGAGTCAGGAATTAAGAATGAAGTTGCATTTTTATTGATATGATTATCTTTAGGCATAATACATATATAGAGTTTTATCCAAAAGAAAGAAAAATATTTGTTTTGAAGAATTTTTGACTTTTAGAATCGCCACTTAATTTTTTAAAGAAAAAATCAAGAAAAAACTATTGTTTTCAAAAGACTTAAACAGATAAAGATCATTTGAAAACATAAAAGGGTTCAACGATTCATATAGTATCTTAGGAAGGTATTCAAGGCACCTAAAATATCCGCAAAATACAGTTAAACGGCAACTATCTTAATTTGGCTAAAATATCTAAATTTTTACTTAAGGAGTTTTCTGAAACAAGTAATCAATTTATTATATAAGTAAAAATTGATTTGTAAATTTATTTACTTTTACCATAAAATCAGTTTGAAGTAAATTTTAAGTAGATAAAATATTTACGGTGTTTTGCAGGGATTTGAATTCTTTAACCATAAGACTAGTGAGAATCAAACGACAAATAAATAAACTAGAAATAAGAGAGAGGGAAAGAGGATTTGGTCCAAATCCTGGTTATCTGTTTGCCTGGATCGGTTTTTGAACCCACCTGTCTTGGATTTTTGACCCTCTTGTTTTGTACCTGTCCTAAGTTGTAGCAAAATAATACAATAATAAATATAAATACGGAAAAGAAAAACAAGTGCTTAGGCCAAAAGACAAAAAGATACAATTTTTTTGGCAAAGTAAAATTTAGGCTCTTATGGCCTAATTTCTTCCACTTCTGCCACTTCAAATACCTCTATGTCGATTTAAAAGTGGGACACTTGATGGAGAAATTATGACTCCCTCGAATTGCAAAGAGGAGGTGAGAGTCCATAATGGACTCGGATAAGTTGACATGAGAAAATAAAATAAAATTAGTAAAGCAACACCACAGTAATCAAGGTAGAAAAATAAAAGCAACTTAATTATTGACATTCCCCTCGTTCAAAATGAGTATATTAACGAACGGAATGTAAATTATGCTCGCCTAATTCAACTTTTCAGCAGACAGAGGGTATAAAATCTAATAAACTACCCAAATTTCATTCGCATTAAACAAGAAATGCCATAGAAGACCACGGGGCAAACGACAAAAGATTAAACAAGCCAATTTTCACGTAAAGTTCAAGCAGCCTATCCTACCACACATGCGAAAGATAAATTAACTAACAAGACGAAAACATATATTAATCTTTTTTTTTCCCCTAAAACAGATGAACGAGTTAATCAGCAGACTTTTCAAAATTCACTCCTAGCAAGTTACGGGATAAAAAAAAAAGGCATCCAGACCAAACTGTACAAGACATGAAAGGAAAAGAAGGGTATCAAGAACCAAATAAATGTTCTAAGAGTTGATGCAAGACAGTAGACTACAAGCTCAGCTATAAGACATTCAGATATAAGGCCATCAAATAAACTCGAGAATCGATGTTTAGCCCCAACTAGTGGTGGAAGAATAAAGAGAATAACATCTCACATAGACCCAACAAGATCTTAACGCACTGAGGACAAACCAAACGAGAGGAATGACCTGACAACTAAGCTAAAAGAGAAATGAAAAGTAGAGAGGAAACAACACACAGAACAAAACGACGTCTGAATATTCCGATAACTTGAGCCAACTAAATACACACAGAACAAAACGACGTCTGAATATTCCGACAACTTGAGCCAACTAAATTTATTCGTGCGAAAAATGTGAAGATCGTGGAATATTGAAATAATCCATAGAAGAGGACTTTCAAACTTCATGACTAAATCACTACTTCACAGCAAGTTCTAACAGTAAAAAAGAAAAAAAAATCGGAATCAAAGAAAAACATCAAACGAAATGGACACAAATAACAACACCAACTTACTGGCAGAAAACTATCCTTAGACTCCAACTGATAGGGAGTCCAAGACTTTCTATAAGGGCCTAAACTAAAATTTTTAGACCGACCTCATCCCATAATTAACAAGCTGAACATACATATATCAGATTTGACACTAAACCAGTCACGCGATACAAATTTGTCACCTAAAAAAAACTCACATTTAAACTTGAAAACAATGACATCAGATTTCAGCAAACGCGATGCTAAACATCTTAATGATCCATCAAAGGTAGTAAAGAGAGGTCAAAGTAGGCAACCAGATCGTTAAAGAGATCAGACATGGCGCATCAGCAAAACAGGCTTCCAGAAACTAAAAAAAAATAAATCAAAATATAGAGTACGAGAAAATATTGCAAGGGAGGAGATGTTACCTTTTCCGGGGCAGCGAAACTGAAACAAGACGAGTAGGGATGGCTGAAACCTTAACACCACTAGGAACGCGACTTTGAAAAGGTTGGTAACGAACCAAAATAAACAACACCGAAGCTAGGCAAGGAACGAGATCCTCAACCTCTTTTGTATATTTTGCTTCTCCCTGACACTAGTTGACTCTAAGAATGTTCTTTTTCTTTAAATTCTTTCTCTATATTTTCTTAATTCACTGCCACTCCGTCCCTTTTTTAGGTTTATGTGTCTTATGGCTCAAAAAAAATCTCTTATCTCAGAGAATGAAGAGACTATATATAGTGTAAAATTAGGGTTTCAAATTCTTGAAAGGTGGGGTGGATATGGGTCCAAAACAGACCCATTTCGAGTTCCTTCATTCAAAATTCAAAAAAAAAAAAAGAATCACCAATTTTGGCTGAACAGTCTGTTTTCTGAACCTTCCGCCTTTTCCAAAAAGAAAGGGGAGAATGAAAGCCTCAGATCGATCTCCCGTCCTTGGGGAGCTTTGTGGCTTGATCTTAAACTATCAAGGACGGTTTCGCGTGAGCCTTTCTGCCATTTTCAAATTCATACCGATCGGAAGGGACGTTGGAGATATACGACAAAGGAAAAGCTGTCTATGTAGTGTGCGCACAAGGCGTGACCTGCCATGAGTTGGAAAGGAAACTCCATGTATCTCTGTCAATTCGCCGCTGCTTGAGATTTGTACATGCCTCTTGAACTGTCGAACGTTGGCGCTGGAATTTTCTGGTGCAGGAGTTGGGATTTGGAAGAGGAAAAGAGTCGGGTAGGGTATGCGTATAGGAAATTGGGCTAGGTAAAAAATAATAGTGGCAAGTGTGGGCTGCTAATGTTATTGTAATGTAACGTTGGGGCTGGCAAAAGAGGTAAGAAACAGCCCAACTAAAAGAATTTCCTTTAAAATTGTAGCCCATTGATATTTAAAATTTAGTCGCATTTGGAATTAACCGGTGAATTTGATAAAAAATCTGTAAGACAAATTTAGAGAAATTAATTAATGAGCTTCTTAATCGAATAAAATAAAATAAATAATTTAAATATAAATTGATTATTCAATTACAAACCACTTTACTCAAATTTGTAACTATAATTTTAAATTAAAATGAAATTGCCCGCCTGAAAGCATAAAATCTTTTGTGACAATTTTTTATATTTAGAATGTTGTAATTTTATGCAAAGCAAGTATATTATCTAGGAATTCTAAAACCGATAAAGCTAGTTAAAATCTTGCAAAATATATGTACATACATATATATTTCAATTTTTAGAATACTAATACTTTATCATTTAAAATTTGAGGAAGCTTAATAATTAAGACATTTGTGAACGTCCAAAATTGGGTGTCAACATATAGGACCCTAAACTTAACTTCAAATTTTAATTTTGACCTCCAACTTTCATAGTGCACAAATAGACACTTTAATTATCCTACCTTTTAAAAAATAAACACCCGATTCTTGGAGACAAAGAGCATGAAATGGAAACGATCCCATGTGTATTAGTGAGCACTCAATGATTGCTAACTAATTAAATATTTTACACTTTTTTAAAAAAAATATTTTACACGTCATTTAAGAACTAAAAACATTAATATCAATTTTAATTAATATACAAGGGTTAAAACAATTAATTAGCTCATTTCACCCGATTGTGAATTGAATCATCTCAAATGTGAAAACCCTAGGTTATCAGTGGAATCAAAATCTGGGAATGATTCAATATTTCTGCTGAAGCTGATATTCATCTGTTCATGTTTCTCGATTTAGTTCAGGTATGCCTCAGTTTTGCTCTTTTGAAAGTTTATCTTTGATACAAAGTAGAACCTTTTTGTCAACATGAGTGTAAAATCATTGTTTTTTTTACAAATTTATGCATATGGTTCATATTATAGCTATTTTTCACAATGGAGGTCACTTTTATAAAGGTCAATATGTGTCAAAATTAGGAAACATCATATAGCATAGATAAGGACTTCTCTTTGACCGGATTGAAATCGTATGCAAAAGAAATTTGGTATGATGAAGTTGATGTCTTTTTAGTGAAGACCCTACTCTACCCATAATTTTGTCAAGTTAGAAAGTAACAACCAACTATGTAACTTTGTTAAAAATTTGTGGAGTGAGTAATCTTTTAAGTTGTTTTCGAAGCATGTAACTGATAAATAAAGGGGGTCCATTGCTACAACCACATTAGGACCATTTTTTGTTGAAAAAAATAATCAAAAATTGAGAAATTGCTCTAAGGTTTCACACACTGAGCATGGTAAAAATGGGGTAGGTAAAGTTGAACAACCATTAGAGAAAGAAAATGGTTATTCTCTTAACTTTGAAGAGGATGACTTAGATGATGTTCTAGATCAGGCTGATAGTGAAATTGATGAAGAACTGAGAGTTTTTAGAGAAAAACTTAGGGAAGACAAAAAAAAATGAAGCTGCAAAGCAAAAAAGTGAACTAAAAACCCCTAAAATGATCAAGGTGTTGAGCTTGAAAAAATTGGCATAGATAAGGGATTTGAAAATATCTTCACCAATAAGGCAGTCAAATATAATGGGAAATTGGGAGATGATGAAGTATTTATTGATTCATCAGATGAACTAAGTGAAGATAATGATGAGGAGCTAGATGTTTTAGCACAACTGGGTGTTGATTTACCTTCAAAAAGAAAAAAACAACAAACCGATGTATGATTTTTCATATTCCATTTCTAGTTTTGAGTTGGGTATGATATTTGAGAGTGCAACTCAATTTAGAAAGGTTGATGCTGATTATAGTATTCAACATAAGGTTCAGTTAAGGCTTAAACTCAATGAACCTCATATAGTTAGAGTAAAATGTGAAGAAAAGTGTAAATGAGAAATCTTTGCAAACTTGGATAAAGATTCTGGATTTTTTTTTTAAAAAAATAAATACTATCAGGCTTATAGATGTATTTCAAAGAATAGGAACACGTTGTGCACAACCAATTATGTGGAATTGAAGATAAGGGATAAAATAATATCTCAGCCTGACATGAGAGTTCATAAGCTTCAAGAGAGACACTAAGAATAAATGGGGCTTAAAAGTGAGAAGATCTATATGTTACAGGGAAAAATGAATGTTATTGTCAAGTTCTTCGGAGATTGGAAGCTTGAGTTATTAAGGTTGTTAGACTATACTGATATAATTAAGAGTACAAATACTGAGCGTTCTTGTTGGGTTAGAACTGATAATGAAACAGTCTCTGGCTTACACTTGTTCAAATATCTCTATGTTTGCTTTGCTGCATTGAAAAATGAATGGTTGAAAGGTTGTTGGAAGACTATAGGATTGACTGGATGTTTTTTGAAGGGTGCTAGAGAAGAATTATTAGTGGATATTGGAAAAAATGGAAATAATAAAATTTATCCAATAGCTTTGGCAGTGGTTGATCAAGAAACTAAACACTCTTGGAGTTGGTTCATAAGCTATCTCATTGAAGACTTGCAACTTGGTGATGGAAGTGGCATAACAGTCATGTCTGACATGCAAAAAGTATTTTATTTTGCCTTTGTTTATTTATTGCAACTTATTGCCTTCTGAAACCATGTAAATATATGTTTCTTTACTAAATTTTGTCTCATAGAAGCATTTCATTTTACATTGTCTATGGTCTTTGAATTGTGCAGCATTTAGTTCTGCGTGTGTTTGTGTTTGCTGGGATTTGGTTGTCAAGATTAAAACAAGGTTTCTTTTTGTACTTGTGATTTGTTATGACCTGTTTTTGTATAAAAATAAATGGAATTGATACTGTAAAACAGAGTTGTAAGCTTTCAACATGATTTGTCTACAAGACAGTGGCGTAGCCAAGAATTTCATCAAGGGTGTCCAAACTTTTAACAATAACTTTTTTAAAAAGAAATCAATAATTTAAACTACCGAAACAAATAATCAAATTAAGCAATATTTAATTAAATATAAGTAATTTTTAACTAGAATTACTAGTGTATAATTCAAAACTAACATAAAGAAATTAAAGTACTATTGAAAACATAATTCAAAAATGTTAGTACAACTGTACTCGATTAAATATTTTCTTTTCTACATAAGACACTATACAACCGTCTAGAAATATTGAGATTCTATATTTAATAATATGGTGACATAATTTGGGTTATTCCGTCTCTTACTTATAGAAAAAAAAAACCTTGTTCCATAAGAATTTTTTAAAAAAACAATTAAGGAAATTTTATTACATAAGGATAAGGTATTAAAATTTAAGAAAATAATTCAATTTTAATTGAAAAAATCAAAAAGGAAAAAATATTAAATTTTAGAAATCTTATTCCACAATGAAAAGGTATTAAAATTTAAGGAGATAATTCATTTTTAATTGAAAAAAATTATTTTAAAGAAATAATTCATTTTTTAATTGAGAAAAAATAATTAGTGAAAGAGGAATTCGAACTTGGGTTGCTAGAGCAAGTAATGACACATTTGACCACTAAGCTACTAAACATTTATTTTAAAATTACGTATGCCTATTTACTTAATTAAATTCAAGACGTGAAAATAATTAAAGAAAGAAGAAAGACCCTTGTGGGGAATTAAACCCGGGCAAAGAGTAGAATAGCGACAGCTATTGCCGACTGCGCTACGCCTTATTTAGAATTTTTAGGGAGTCCAAATTCTATATATATAAATATTAAATTAAAATTGTACGTGTATATATTGCGTAATTTTACGACGAAAGGTGTCCAATTGAACACCCTGAAACCTACGTGGCTCTGCCCCTGCTACTAGATATATATAATTGTACTACAACAATTGTTGTTTGCATACACCATTTGGATATCTTCATAGAGCTGTAAGTTTTCAACTTGATTTGATATATATATATATATATATATATATATATATATATATATATATATATATATATATATATTATATATTTATTTATAATTGTACTACAACAATTGTTTTAAAATATAAATTGGCAACACACTTTGAAGTCCATAGTCAAAGAACTTGATACAGCAAAACTTAATGTCCCTTGAACAAAGTCCACTGAAAACTACTGATGTTCATAAGATTTCTTTGTTTATTTCGATTAGTTATTGTCACTGCTTGTTATTAGTGCATGAAGTAAGAAAAGTTAGTTATTGTTTCTGTTTATTTATCTTAGTTATTGTCAATTGCCTGTGGATGTTGTTAGTGTGTTTAATAAGTAAAACATGCCTTAAAAATATTGATTTAATATTTCTTAGGATCTTGAGGTAGCAGTGGAAGTTTTACTTTCTAATGCTGAAAGAAGAATGTGTGCAAGACATATTTGGGCAGTGGTAAAAAAGATTGAAAGGTGAGTAAAGAAGAAAAACATTTTGGGGGTGTTTCAAAGCTAGTTTTGAGGTTAAATTTAGAGATGAATTTGAATATTTAGGAAAATTGAGTCACAAAATGTGTGAGTCATTGCTTGGATATAACAAAGAATATTGGTGGAGAGATTTGTTTAGCGAAAGATCAAAGTGTGATGTGGTGAAAATAATATGTGTGACACATTTAATTGGTGGATTGGTTAGACATAAATATGTGAATTGTATTCTTGAAGATATTAGGCATAAAATGATGGAAATGCATAGAGATATGATTAAGTTTGCAGATACTTGGATGAGTGATATTTCATCTATGACAAGACTTAATTTAGAAGAAAACAAAGAGATTGACAGGGAACTTAGGGTGAATTAGAATCATGTCATTGGATTTGAAATCCACGAAGGAGAGTATAGACACATAATTGACATGACTAGAAAGAGATGTGGCTATAGGTTGTGGCAGTTGAGAGGCATACCTTGCCAACATGCAGTTTGTACCTCATATCACAATGGGCAAGTATCAGAAGATTATGTGGATCATTGGTAAAATACATTCTTAAGTGCTTATAAGTATTTTTATAACTCATATGGTAATGTGG